GTAGGAGGGTGTTTTGATGAATGATGGGGTTTGGAAGGTGGTTAACTCGTGCTTTAGCTTAGGTTTGATACTTGGAATGTGTTTAACAAGTTTGCTTAAGCTTCTCTTGGCAGAAATGTGAGTTGATGTTGTATTTGCAAAGTTGCTTCTATCTTAAGTTCAAAATGCCAAGTTTTTGTTACAAGCTTATGCAGGCCCCCTAAACAAGCTGCAAAGCTTTGTCTTGATCAGTGGGATATGTCTAATAACTTGTGCCTCAGAGATTTGCATTGTACCTCTTGGATTGTAAACTTGACATAAAGCCATACTTTTCAAAAATGGATATATTACTTTTTCTAATTAAGGACTAATCCTTCATGTAATGACCAAACTCAAAGAATAACATCTTGGCACAATGGTTTAGCATTTAATTTTTGAGTGTAAATGAGATTAGAGGCCTGTAATGTAGCTTGCATATGCTGAGTTTGAAAATGCACAAGTTATGAACATGCCTTTGGCCATGAATCAAAGTGACTTTTGCTCATATTGCCAAATTCGATTCTCCCTAACCACAAGGTTGTTTGATGAGTTCTTGGATATTTTGGAAATCTTGGAATGTGTACTACAATCCATCTTTGTAATTCAAATTGAAATTCCAAGTGGAAGCATGTGAAAAGTGGCCATGAAGTTGGGCAAAAATCCTGCCTAGAATAGGTCAAAATTTTTCTAAGTTAAGAATGTTTTGCACCCTTGTTCCAAAAATCATAACTTGAGTTACAAGCTTCTTTTGAGGAAACTTTGTGAATCAAAGTTGTGGATTTTTAAATGGACTACAACTTTCATGTTTCTAGTTTTCCTTGAATCCAAATGTATCTTGATGAAAAAGTGGGACAAAGTTAGGAAAAAATTAGGGATTTTCATAACTTAGAAAAATTCTAAGTTATGAAAATTCTTCATTTCAAACCCTAATTTGCAATTCTTGATTTCTTGATGAACAAGTTTCATATTTTGACATGTCTTGATGAAAAATGAATCTTGACACTTGATTTTGACCAAAAAGTCAAAGTTTGACTTTTCAGTATACAGTCAAATTTGGCTCAGTTAACTGGAAAATTCATCTGTCAATCTTGTGCATTTGGGATCTTTTGAACTTGTTGAACATGTCAAGATAATGCCATTGGGTCCTTGAGTCCATATGTGAGTTTGGTTTTCCATTGGCTAGGTTAAACAGTCAAAAATTGCCTTTGTGCAGTCAAAACCCTAAAAATGACCATTTTGCCCTTTTGGTGATCTGATCAAATTTCTTGTGGAATTGTGATCCAAACTTGACCAAATGGTCCATATGAGTTCATAATGTTGATGTGGGTCAAAAATCATGAGGTTTGACTGACAATTGACCACAGTTGACTTTTTCCCCAACACAGTTGATTTCTAGGTCAACTGTCCAATTGACTGGGCAAAGATTGGAATCAAGGCTTGAAACTTGGTATGGATAAACTTGGGAGTCCAACATGAAGCATGAAAGTCATCTTAGGCATTTTAGGTCAAAACATCTTTGTGCAAACACAAACCCTAATTTGGGTCAACAGTGCAAGGAGAAGTCTTGAGCAGAGGAAATCCTAACTGGATCTTGAGCTCCAAGGGTCTTGTGATGAGAGAATGTTGATGAAATGGGAGGGCAAATTTTGGGGTACAACAGGTGAGCCTTCTTCATCTTAAATATATTACTAAGCACGTGAATGTTAGCTACAAAATAAAATAAAGAAGACAGTTAGTAGAAATATTTTCTAAAAAATAAAGGAAAAAATAAAGATAGTTCATTTTCCTCACCAAAAAGATTTTTTTCCTCGCCGAAAATGGCCGCTTCCAGAATCGAACATGTGTAATTTTGTAAGGTATCTACATCTGAAGGTCTAGATCCCTCTTCATAAGCTAAACTCCCCCATAAGGCAACTAAGTCATCTATCTGTAACTCTTCCTCCGGAGTCAAAGATTCAGAGGTGAAGATATATTTTTTTGGAGCAAGGAAGAAATGGTTATAGGCCCAACATTTTTTAATCTTTTCCTTACATTTTTATGGCTCCAAACAAGGGGGACAAAGATGGGAATATCTATTTCTAGAAGTATGAAAAACAAAGAGTGAGCCTTTTGATTCTTGGGGGTCGCCAAAAAGTAATGGTCCTTAAATTTTTTCATCCTCTCAAGGCAAATGTCAAACATCTTCAACGACTGGCAAAATGAGAGAATGCCTTGTCCCCGATATTTGTTGATCAAAGTGCATGTCACATTGAATATATAAAAGAATGACCTCAAGGTCGCCACCTTCCCCTGGTACTAAAACCAATACTAGAACACTTTGACAAAGGCCCAAGCTACCGAGTGTAGTTGAGACAGGGGAATTCTCAAGTGATTCAACATCTCGTCCTCAAAATTGTTGAACGAAAACTTGAATCTCATCCTAGATAACAAACATTCATATAAAGGAATAAAACATCCATCAAAGGAGCTACATATCCTTTTATCGCAATCGACATGGAAACCAGACCAATCAAAGGATGGTCCTACATCCCTATAAGCATCTTTCATATTTTGAGTGTTGTTGAAGAAGGAATTTGCCCATACTAACTATGCCTCTACCCAATGGTACTGAGTAGTGATAGAAGGCATGACAAGACCTTGGCGGTCCATTTGAACCATGTATTCTTAATTGTCATGAAAAAAATTATGTTTGTCATGAATTAGAGAATGACTCTAAAAGTTGAGATGATCCCTAACCTATTGAGTGTCAGGTTCCCGACTATCTATAGGTCTAAATGAATTAATAAAGAGACGAGTTCATGGTTCATCCAGGTGAGCCTCGACATGCTTCAAATCCTCCATATGTTAGGCAAGAAAATGGGGGGTCAATATTAGTATCCCTAGTTACGAGACCAACAAACTTATTTGTATTTCCACCAGGATGAGAACTCGAAGGTTCGTTCTCATCTTCGATAGAAACCTCCACCAGAACCAGAACTATCTTTGAGAATAATGAGGTTCGTAAAAAGTGTGAAGTTTGGAATTTATTGGTCTACTATTCTGGTGCAAGACAAAGCGTCACTCGCATCATTACCACTAGATATGTATAGAACAGTCGATGGGTCATCTCCCATATTAGCCATGACTAAAACGGGGAAGAAAAAAACAACAAGTGATAAATAAGGAGAAAATGGTACCTAAGAGAGCTTAAGGTTGAGGAAATGATTAAGATGAAGGATAGTTATGAGGATGTGATAAACCGTGAAAATGTAGGACCCAAAGAAAAAAAAGAGACAAATGGAACAAGAATCACCGGGACTAAGGGAAAAGCAATCAAAGTTCTTAGAAAATTAAAAATATTATAATTTGCACAAAGAGTGGAAACATGATTAGGAAGGTATGGTCTCAAATAAAACAAAATGCACATATGAAAAACAATTGTTGGATTTGCCTCGATATTTTAATAGCGTTTGAGTACACTTGAGCATTTTAGAGGGAAATGTCACACCCTAGTCTATGGAATTAGGGCCACGTGTAAACAATCATGTGAAACATTTCAATTATGAGACTAACATTTAATGTACTTGGTTCTAACATCACTCACGTCACCTCACAATTTTTCCCACTTCTCCAAGCAGTGAACCCGACACGGAAAGCCCGACCTAGTTTTCTGAAAGACTTCTCATTATTACGCCACAGTAAGTCTTGGGGGTAAATATTTCGAGAAAAGCCATAAGCCTAAAAAGGGGAGGTCAATCATCATGCCAAAGCCTCTCCACCAAAGTATTGAAGGTATAATGTAACCCTACTCCGAAGCTCCACATTGAATCCACATCATGGATTTTCGTCTACTATTAGATGTCATTATAATGCCCGAATTCCACATAGAAATGACAAGGAACGTCCATAATTACCTTTTATATATAAGAACCTGAGTTATTATCTCTAATTCATAACTCACATTATTCATCATTTTCTTATTAGTTTGAGCGTTGGAGTGATAATCTTACAGATCTACTACAACATCATTCTACCGAAGATTCATTCTACCAGGTGGAGACTATATTCCATCATTTCATCAAATATTTATGTATTTATGGTACCATAGTGGAACATCATCCAAACTATTTTGACATGAGTTTGACCATTCTCACAAAATTAGCTACGTATTAAGATTACATTTTGCAAAGATCCAAGTAGTAGCTTTGAAAAATTCACGGTTCAAAACCCTTGGGAAGCAAGAAAAAGCAGCTAACTGCATATACTAATGTTGGCTCTATTGACGTATGTTTGAAAATATGACACGGTGAGACATAGTTTATTACTAAAAAATTGTGAATAACAACTAATGAAAATTAGTCATATTCTGAATATATAATTGAATACCCTTTTGCATACACCTAAGTTGCGTCTGGATTCATTAACAGAAAATTTAGAGTAACAAAATGCAGATTTGAACTAAGGATGCGCTAACCCGCCAGCCAAAACAAACTAGAATAGATATTCAAATTTAATATTTGACTTTATGATACATAGGTATAGTAGGTATAGATACAATACGAGGATAGCTATTGATGTGGTATACGATATTTTAGGGAGAAAAAAAATCAAAATTCGAGTAAGTCAATATAATGTCTTCCAATTTAAAAAGACATTATAATTGAGTTAGCAACCAATAAAATTGCTGCAAAAATTATTCTTATTTGCTACAAAAAATAATAATATTGCTGCAAAAAGTTTAACCCTGAAATTTTTAGAGAAAATACAATGTCTTCCAATTTAAAAGACACTAGACTAAAGAGAAAATCTAGAGCGGTCCTCCAACACCATGCTGAGGATCATCTACAAACTAAACTACCTGTCAATGAATATCTATATACACCAAAAGAATAGAGCTTCCACTTTCCACAAAACATAGAAGGGACAATCATGACATGGAAACTCTTGCAATCTAGATCCTTGAAATCACTACCCTTCTAAACAACTAATGAAAAGAAAAAAAATCACCACTCAAAAGGATTTATAGAGGAATTTTCTGGAGGTCTTTTATAAATGTCGTCAAAATGAAGATTGATTTCTCCTGATTCTAAGTCATATGTATGTGCAGTATGAAATGATTTGTGATAATCTGAGTTTCTCCAATACAATTCTTGCTCTTGGTCTTGATTCTCTGACCCTGTCTCAGATAATTTATCGTCGTAATTATTGAATGCTCTTTCGTGATTGAAATCTGGAGGCTCCCAAAGGCTTGATTGATCATGTCCACCCTGCTGATGATGGTGACTTCTAGCCCACCAATGACCCCTGGTATGGTGGTGTAGATCATCAGAATCTTGATTCCGAATTATGCTTTCCCTAAAGATGGGAGCAGATACGGATGCCCCGAGATGGGAATTGGCACGATCATCATGATATTCTTCGTACTCAGGATCATTCTTTGTCAAGCTGGACGGCATCCAATCTCTGGAGTGATGAGGAGTTTCTTCAAACAGATTTGTTGGAACATCTCTAGAAGTCGCATTATGAGGTCGGGAAGTATAGTGCACCCAATCTCTGTAGTTATGTGGAGATTCTTCAAATGGATCTGTTTGAACATCTCTTGAGGTCGCATCATGAGGTCGGGAAGTATAGTACCAATCGAGCAGATACGGGTGATTGTTTTGATTGTTAGCATCAATTAACCACAACGAACCTAAGTGATTGCCAGTTACAAAAGTGCTGTTCCGCATTTCTCTTGAAATAAACCTATTTCTGTTGTCTCCATTGGTTCTCGTGTCGGGACTGCCTCTCCACAATCTGAGAGGGGGAAATCCTTGTCGGTTTACATGCCCTGATGATGATTTTTGCTCTCTGAATGTTCTCAGATTTAGCAAAAACTTCTTCCCTTCAGCATTTGGTTCCCATGAAGGATAACTACTTTGGAAGCTGCAATGACAATAGATGTTAAACCAAACATATAATCATGAGAAAAAAAAGCAATTGAATCAACCGGTCTCATAACTGCGACGAGCTCTGCCATGAACATACCTCAAAAATGATTTCTCCAACTTCCCCTGGGAACTCCTTTGCTCGCGAGGTGAATCAGATGAGGAACCATAACTACTGTTTCCATGCTTTTGAAAATCAAAGACACTGAAACTGCAATAGTGTCATACGACAAAGTGTAGTGAGTACATGAACACATTAAAATTGGATTCAAATACAAATATTATCAATTTATAAAAACCATTCTAACCTGCATACATGGCCAACACCTTCAACGTGTACGGTAAAATCAGCAATGAACTGCAAGATATCATCGACACGCTGCACAATAAAAAGAAATATAATAAATTACACTATATAGCTTACAAATAAAGATACCCTACTATGGTGTATAGATATAGTAATGTCAAATTCAATACACAGCAAATGACCTTTGGGACAACAAATAGGAGTAAGTATGGAGTAAGGAAAATTGAGGCCATCTCCTCGAGTAGCATCATCCCAGTATACTGCACCACAAAAAACAGATTAGCATAACATGCAGTATTCGAACCTTTACTGTCATGAAAAAATCGAAGAAAATAACGATAGGTCAAGTTTAGAGTTATTATTAAATTAAATCAACACCTGAGAGGTACCTGGAATAAGGTTTCAAACTCAGTTCGGACCGTTTCAGTACTTTGCTTGCCACGCCATCTCTTTGGCATATAATGTGTATGCTGAACTACCATAGACATTGCTCCTTCAGGATCTATGACCAGAAGTTCATTTACAATTGCAGCCCGGCTAATAGCAGTTATGGTTCCAAAAACAGCCGCATACCACAATAAGTTTCGACCAAATATCTGCATTGATTTTCTATAAAAATGAATAATGAAAGAAACAAAAAGAAAATCATTTGTAAATGATTAGCATGATATGTCTGTATAATTTATTTTGACGAAGGCATAATAAAATCATTACATGACCCTCTAGCAGAGATTCCTCTAGAAAAGCAATGATGATCAGAACTGCAGCAAAGCCACCAGATACAAACGAGATGAATTTTGCAATGATAGATATGATGGGTGAAGGAAATTGCTTGAGATAGTCAGAAGCATGTAACACGCTGTTATTAATACGATGCCGGAAGAGATGGTCCACCTATAAAACAAGTTATATTTGTAAGCTTGAGCACAAACACAAAAGAAATACAAGTGACATTATGTTAAAAAAAATAACTAAGTGACTGGTTTCAACTAGTAATTAATAGTAAATGTGAAACCTATGCAAGTAGTAAATGATCAGCAACAAATGGACTAAGAGAGGAATAACGATATACCTCATTGAATCCCCTAAAGACCCATCTTGACAAATTTGACCATCTTCGAGATGATGCTGTACTTGGGTGATTGTAAAATTGTTCAGCATGCCGCAGAAAGAGATATACCAGCATGAATATGACAAGAAATGGAGAAAGTAAAAGTATTGCAAGCCCAACTAAGATAAGCCTTTTCTTTAATGTCCTTGAATTTGACACGAAATCTCTTCTGACACAAAAGTTACTGCAGAGAAAGCATGTTCAAAAGAGAAAACCATCATTGGAATTTGTAGTACGGTTACCATTGACAAAAATTGATTTTGAATTAACTGAATTTGTAAAATTGATTTTAGTTAAAAATGAGTTGTGCAGTGGTTTATTTTTGTATACATATCGGTAAAAGTGATTTCAACACATCATTACATCTCAACACATCATTTTTTCAAACTTGTTTAAAAAGAAAACTTGATAACTACGTCTGAGGTGATGAAAGACCATATCTTAACAAGTTACAGGACCTAACATCACTGAATATAATGATCTTATAGGAATTGCTATTTTTACAATAATTAACATACCTATCAAACATGCTTTGCAGGACGCACCAATTCAAAGTCCACTCAAGTGTCTTAGTTAGTACTAGACGATATTGTGTTCCATTTGTACTGCATTTCACTGTTGGACCAGCACCTGGAATCCATTTAGAAATGGGAAAAGCAAGCACACCCTTGTTGAGCATTCCGATCAAGTAGTTCTCCTTCCGCATTAACCTCATCACAATGTCATGAGCATTAAGATCCTTCACCACGCAGAGTTTTCTAGTGCTTTGCACAAGAACAGTCTTTTCAAGAACTGTAGCCCACAGCATTGTTTGAATTTCACTATCTGTAACATGGAGACTGCGAGCAGATCATGGTAAATTAAGTCAAACACTTAAATCATAAGTAAATTCATCAATCCCGTTTATACATTTATCAATCACATTTACCTATTGTAGTAAAACTCTCGGATTTCCAGAGTATACTTCAGTTGAGCAAAGAATCTTAAGAAGCAAAATATCCAATAGATAGAAAATATGCATAAGTATCCAACAATAATAGCTTTGCTAAGTGTTAACGGAGTTAAAGGGTGTTGATGAAGAGCTTCTTTAGCAAGATCACAGGGCTTCATTCCAGATTCAACTGCATCCATCCCACATCTTGCATTACGGAGTCCATTCCAATCAACATATAGTAAGAAAAAAGCCGAAAAACATATGGTGAATCCCAGACTCAGAAGTTCAACAACCCACTTTATAACGATGCACCATAACCCTTTCTCACAATAGTAGCTGTAAAGTCTTTCAAAGAAGATATCCAAATCAGAAATCGCCTCAACATTACGGTTCTCATCGTTAAGAAGCCCTGAAGGACTCTCACTACCCGGACTCGGAATCCTTCTGTAATCAGACAACTCAATCTCCAGAGTAACATCCTGAAGTAAACCTTCCGTCACTGATGAAGATTCACCTCGACGCTTCCATTTGAATATACTAAAAGCACTAGCATCTCTTGACCTAGTAAACATTGTTCGCATACACTGGAAGTTGGCATAAACAGCCAGTCCATACCCCAGAGACCTAAACAGTTATTATAACCAAGCTCTACAGACACAACAGAATCAATATTTAGTATCTTCAAAAGGCATCATCACTAAAAGAGATAGTATTTCACACTTCACCCTAATGAACAATGAAATCAAACAAGTACAAAATGCATAGTTCTAAATTGCAATCCACATTATAACGAAATTGCGGCCACATTTGTCGGAACTGTACCGCAACATATAAAGGTTAAAAATCAACAATTTGAAATATGATGAGCTGAATAAGGCCGTATGCAGTTCTATTCTATCATGATCAGATCAAAAGTGATTTCTATGGACAATCTATGACTACCCATCATAACAAACAAGTGTAACTATGTAAGCCCATGAAGAAAAAAAACTTTTTTTTCAATATTTCATTAGAAGAGGTGAAAAAGCAATGAGCTTTGTTGTTTACACATTGAAAAAAAACAAAAGTCCATACAAAAACATGTTAATGGAATAAATACAAGAGTTTAAAGCGTTGAGAGATGAAAAGGGTATAGTTAGTTACCTTGGAGTAAGCAGAAAACATGGAAGAAAGGAGATTAACGATGAATTTGGGGGAAAAGGAGGGAAGTTGGGAAAGTGATTGATTGTGAGGAGAGGAGAGAAAGGAGAAGAAGAAGAAGAAGAGGGTTTTGTTTTTGTTGTTATTTGTTGCGTGGAGAAAGAGGAAAATTGAAGTGAGAAACAAATTAGTACGGAATAAATGGGGTTTTTATTCGGTTTTATCAGTCTGTTCACAAAATAGGTTTACTAAGATTACAGAATATATGTGGGCCTCCATAACCTCACCAAGGGAATTTTTTTTTTTTTTAACATTTAAATAACAATTAACGGTGTTTTAGATGATTTATTTTGTATAAAAAATTAAATATAATAGTTAAATAAAATATATGAAAAAATTAAATATAATAGTTAAATAAAATATATGAAAAAATAAATATGAAGATATAAAAAAAGATTGATATGTGTATTTCTTCTCAAAATATAATAAAAATAAAATGATTTTTAAAAAAAATAATAATAAATCAGTGTCTATAATGTTGGAAATCCACCAAATTCTATGATGAATTTCTACCACAATGACAATTTAATTATGAGATAAACAAAGAAAAGAAGACAAGATAAATATTTCTGCTGCAAATCTGTGATTACAATGAATTGACTTACTTGACTTGCTTTTCTTGCTTTGAAAAATAGGGGTTACTCCCTCTATTTATAATTGAGCTTACACCCTAAGCCCAAAGCCCAAAATATCTTTTTGTTACTAAATCAAATCAAATCAAATCTATTCTGGACTTAAATCAAATCTATTTAAATCTAAAATAAATCAAATCTTCTTTGACACTATGAATTACAATTTAACACACCACCTAATTCATTGTGTTTAAACTGTTTATGTTCATCATGGCTCTTAGCTTTCTGAATACTTCGACTTGCACTCCCTTCGTCATGATGTCTGCAATCTGATTCTCAGTTCTGCAGTGTTCCAAATTCATCTTCCCATCTGCTACCTGCTCTCGAAGATAATGGAATCTCATTTCGATGTGCTTACTTCGACCATGTGCTATTGGGTTCTTTGCCAGATTAACAGCTGACATGCTGTCTATCTTCATGGTAATTGCTCTATGATTTTCCCTGTTATCTCTTCGACCAAGTTCACCATCCAAGTTGCTTGACATGCACAAAGAGAAGCAGCTATGTATTCTGCTTCGCATGATGATAATGCCATTACTGGTTCCTTTCTTGAATTCCAAGCAATTGGTGCACCACCTAGCATAAACACATATCCTGCTGTTGACTTTCGATCTTCAGCATCACTACACCAACTCGAATCAGTGTATCCCACTAACTTGCATTCTTTTCCTTTATCAACTGCAGGAAACAAAATGCCATAATCGAAAGTTCCTTTAAGATACCTTAGTATCCTCTTCACTGCTGCTAGATGTGATACCTTTGGCTTCTGCATAAATCTACTTACCATACTTACACTGTATGCTAAGTCAGGCCTTGTATGATAAAGATATCTTAATGATCCAATAAGTCTTTTGTATTGGGTTGGATCAACATCATCTTCATTTGCATCTTTCGACAGTTGTAGTCTTGGTTCTGCAGGTGTCGAAGTTGAGTTGCATTCTTCCATCTCAAACCTATTGAGAATTTCTCCTGCATATCTTCTTTGATGCATCATCAAACCTCTACTGCTCTTGTAGAATTTGATACCAAGGAAATATGAAATCTCACCCAAATCAGACATTTCGAATTCCTTGCTGAGATCACCTTTGAAGTCTTCGATCTCACTTTTACAGCTACTTGTTATCAACAAATCATCTACATAGAGACATAGTATAAGCAATTTACTCTTGCTTCTTCTTACATATACTCCATGTTCAGTTGTGCACTTCACAAATTCCTTCTCCCTTAGAAAATTATCAATTTTCTTATTCCAAGCCCTTGGAGCTTGTTTCAATCCGTACAGGGCTTTATGTAGCCTGTACACCTTTCTTTCTTCGTCATGTTTCACAAACCCAACTGGTTGTTTAACATAGACTTCTTCATCTAAGGGTCCATTTAGGAATGCACACTTCACGTTCATCTGACATATGTGCCAACTGTTTATTTCTGTTAGACCAACAACCAACCTGATTGTTTCGATCCTAGCAACAGGTGCAAAAACTTCGTCGAAGTCTATTCCTTCTTTCTGTAGAAATCCTTTCGTCACAAGTCTTACTTTGTGTCGAGTTACTTCACCTTTCGAATTCGTTTTCACTTTGTATACCCACTTGACATCAATTGCCTTCTTGCCTTGAGGCAATTCGACAAGTGACCAAGTGTTGTTGTCTTCGATAGACTTTACTTCTTCGTTCATTGCTTTCACCCACTTCGAATCTTTTAATGATTCAGTTGCATTAACAGGTTCGACATCTGCATAGAAAGCATAATGTACCAGCTCACCTTCATTATCTATTACATCATCTGATGTAATCACACAATCTTGCAATCTTACAGACATGCGTCTTGTTCTTTGAGGTCTGTTTGTACTTGGTATATCTGCTGGTTCCTCTTGTCGAACTTCTCTTTCGACTTGAGTTTCTGGCTCTTCGAATAGGATTCCCACTGAATCTTTCTTGACATTTGCAGTCCAATCCCATTCTTTAAACTCATCTATGATCATGTCCCTGTTGATCACAATCTTCTTGTTCTCTGGATCGAACAACTTGTAGCCTCCTGTCGAATGATATCCAACTAGGATCATTTGACTTGACTTGTCATCAAGTTTTCTTCTCAACTGATCTGGCACATGTCTTTGTGCAATAGATCCAAATACCTTCAGATGACTCAAGCTAGGCTTCACACCAGACCAACATTCTTCTGGAGTAATTCCTTCTAGCTTCTTTGTAGGACATCTGTTCAAAATGCATGTTGCAGTCGAAACAGCTTCACCCCAAAACTCTTTAGGTAAACTCTTGCCTTTCAACATACTTCTCACCATATTCATGATGGTTCAATTTTTCCTTTCTGCAATTCCATTTTGTTGTGGAGTATAGGGTGGCACCGCCTCATGCACAATCCCTTCCTTTTCACATAATCTGTCGAAGTCTTTCGACACATATTCTCCACCACCATCAGTTCTCAAAACTTTGAGCTTTCGACCACTTTGTCTTTCGACCATAGACTTAAACCTGGTAAATACTTCGATCACTTCACTTTTCTTCTTGATCAGGTAAGTCCATAGCTTTCGACTGAAATCATTTATGAATGTAACAAAGTATTTGTTACCTTCAATCGAATCCACCTGGATTGGTCCACATACATCAGAGTATATGACTTCAAGACTAGCCTTCGATCTGCTTCCTACATCCTTGCTGAAGCTATTCTTGTGTTTCTTCGCCTGCACCCATTCCTCACATACCTCGTTTGGAATGTCAATTTCTGGCAATCCTGAAACCATATTTCTTCTCTTCAAATCTCTGATGTCTCTGAAGTTGAGATGACCTAGTCTATAATGCCATATTCATTCATCTCTGCTAGCTGCAGTCGAAAGGCACTTGTGCTCCATCACATTTAGTTCAATCTTGAAGGTTCGATTATGAGACATAGGAGCCTTCAAGATTACTCTCCAATTTGCATCAACGACTCTCATCAACTTATCTTCGATTGACACTTTATAATTCTTTTCGACCAACTGCCCTATACTGAGCAAATTGCTCTCCATGCCTGGTATGTACAACACATTGGAGATTACTGATCTTTTGCCATCTTTCCTCATAATCATAACATCACCAATACCTTCAGCTGCCAGGGTATTGTCATTTGAAAATTTTACCATATTTTTCTTTGAGGGCTTTATATTGACAAACCAGTCTTTCCTTCCAGACATATGTGATGAACATCCTGAATCCAAGTACCATTGGTCCTTGAATCTATCTTCATATCTTGTTGTGACCATCAGCATCATCTCTTCTTCTTCATGTTTTGCAAGCTTTGCATCACTTTCTTGATTCTTTCGTTTTTCTGGACAATCACTCGAATAGTGTCCATATTTCTGACAATTGTAACATTGAATGTGACTCTTATCAGGTTTTCGACCACCACCTCTTCCTCTATTTGCAACACCATCTCTTTGGTTGCCTTGGTATGGTCTTCTTTGATTCGACACGTCTCCTTCGATTTGGTTTCCTCTACCATTCGATTTGTTGTAGCCACCTCTACCTCTGTCGAAACACTTTCATTTGCCTTTGGTCTCTTTTGCTGAATGTGCCTGCAAGGCCACATCACTCTTCGATTTTCCTGCAGCTCTTTCGTTCATTCTTTGTTCATGAGATTCAAGCGTCCCTTGAAGCTCTTCCTTTATCAATTTCGACAAGTATTTCCCCTCTTCTATCGCCACCACTATGTGGTCGAACTTAGGAGCTAAAGATCTCAAGATCTTTGAC